CCCCCCCTTACTATTGTTGTTTATATCTAAACAGGGGAGCCTCCAAACTAGACACCAGAACTAAGCAGTTGACTTTGATTGATTACAACAAGCACATTTAGAGCAAGAGTACAGGGCAAAGCCAAATTGAGTATGCAACTCTTTTGTTGTTATTTTTAAATATTGTTTTCATTCTTTTTTTTCCTTTTTTCAGTTTATGAATAAGTCCTTACATATCTATATACCATTATATTTGTTTTTTATTTGTTATTCTGGTTTTATATATGAATCCTTTAGACAAGTTTTTATCTTTGAAGAGCTTTCCTGAGAAGATATTCAGAGGGAAAGAAGGGTGATCGGAACTGGCTGGGTCTTCCTTATCAGCTGCATATGCTTAGCTTCTTGGAGCACTTTGGCTCACTGTGGATGATAATCAACCCAGGACTTTCTTTTTTGTTGCAGTGACTTAACCAGTTTCTGTTATCAGGTAATTGGCATTATTCTTTTATGCTGTTGTTGCGGCCAGCATGCGCTGTCAGTGCAGGAAGTATCTTTGTGCCAAAGTTAGGAACAGTCATCTGTGGAGCATGAGTTTAACTACTGCAGGGACTCCAGATACAATCCAGCGGTCCTCATGGCAGAATGCTCACTCACATATGCACTAAACACACACTCGAATTATCTTGGACAGTGTATCCACAAAAGCGCAGGACAAACATACACACTCCTTTCGCTCTATGCCGAGTGGTAGCAGATGTGCCAACCTGGCACAAAGTGCCGGGATCGGAGATTTAGACTTGACCGTATATATGTAGCACTTTTGTGATCATCTGTTTAAGCGAGGCGCATCTCTTCCATTAAGCGTAGAGCAGCTGTCTGTGAGCATATATCCCAGTTAGCATGTCAAAACTGATGGTAACATCAACATATTAAATACGACGGATCTTAGAGCACTCCCTGATGATATCAGTAGATTAGCACACTCATTCAACACAGATAAAAACATCCAAACATACTAGTGTCATATGCATCAACACAACCATTAAAGGCATATGCAAAGCAGGAATCTTTATGGAAGACATTTGGAATCAGACTCAGGGCTTTTCAGTAAGGACCAAACCCTAGCTGCTTCCCAGCATGCTAGAAACAGGCAATATTTATGCGTGCATTCTTGACTATGCGATTCTCAACCCCACTTTGTGTAAATAGAAGATGACAAGTCTGAAAAACAGCATGGATACCAGTCTGACTCTCCACAGAGCGAGGAGGGACCGCCATCATCGTCATCCTCATCACAATCACCGTCCCACCTGCGTTCACACTGGTATCCATGCAGGAAACTGCCCTCTCATCCCAAAAAGCCATTATATCATCTTGTCTTCTTGTGTATATTCTCACTTTTTTGAAGAAGAAGAAGAAGAAGAGCAGTGGAGGATTATGTGTTCTCATGTATCATTTCTTTATTGCCAAAACGTCACAGCGGGCGATCAGCTTGGAAAGCACGGCTGATATACAGTACAGAGGTTTTTTCTCTCCCTCTTTGAAGCAATACGAACATAGTTTCTGTAGCAGCGAGAGGTCCCATCCTCTAAATATGGGCAGGTCTCCTCATTGTGTGTGTGTGTGTGCGTGGGTGTGCGCGTGAGTGTGAATGCTTTAGAAAGTTTTCAGTCATGGGTGGATGTCCTTGGCATGGTGCTGTCACACACAAACTCTTGTGTGACCTCATCCTTTCTCTCTCTGCAACGCCGTCACGGTGATAGTGACGGTAACGCAGGCAAACTTTGAGATTATGTTATGTGTTATGTTATTGTTTGTTTTTTCAACATGGCCAAGGTGTTGTTCTTCCTCTGTTTATGTCAACTCTTGTCATACAAAGAAAAGCCATATAAACAGTGAGAGGCACAATAAACTACTTTTGAGAGATTCCTGGACTTTTTCTTTATTTGTGCTAAAAGTGATGTGATGTGTAAGTTCGCTTATACCAGTGTCAAACTTATGAAACACTGTAAACTGCACTTTTGAATGAACATAATCATGCATTACCGGGGTGCAGCAGTAGAGGGAGCTCTTGCACTGTGACTGCAGGGAGTGCTGCATGCAGCTGCGTTTACTGCTTGGAGGATAAGGGCAGGGTCTGTTGGGTCATGGAGAGCTGTGGGTGCAGAGGCTAATAAATCACAGCCTCCTGCTGAACAAGGACATCAGATAAAGGTCTGTTCCTAAGATTTGTTCACTCTGCAGTTAAAGGAGTGCAGGTGGCGGCATAAAAATCATCAGAGAACGACTCTTTTCCTCTGCTTTCATCTCACTGCGATCAGAAAGTTCAAGTATATCTGGCCATGAATTCTTTAATGAAAGCTGTATGAGAAGGCTGCAACAGCACAAGAAATTATCTCAGTTTTTAGATGCATTACATAATATATCAATTATTATTTGGTGCCATTAAGCTTTGGCTCAAATGAAATAAGATAAAATTACATTTGGCCGTGCAAATTTGTGGTAAGCATGTTTTAAAAAATACGCCCAAGTATTAATCATAAAATCCATTCATAATGAAAATATCTTTTAGCTCCTGCATGTTAATGTGGCTCATGTCTGCTGGAGGAAATGAAAGCGATTCTTTTACAGTCAAGCTGCTCAAGCCAGTGCGCTCAAATTCTACTGAAACTGTGTGAAATTTGAACTTGCAGAAATGACCCAGCTCTCGCTAATGGCCTGTGAAAGGACACTCAGTCACTGAACTCAAGTCAAAAGCTTTGTCAGAGTACGCCGTGCAAACTTTAAACCAAGCAAATAAATAAAACAAGGAAAGGCCTTGTTAAGAAGAGTTTTTTTAAGAGGACCAAAAATCAGCCCGCGTGTCTGCGTCAAGGTTATACTGCCTATCTTTACTGTATCGCTGCTGCTGATATGATCACTCACTCTCACAAGAATCCTCTTTATAAAGGGCTTCTGACAGTAAACCTTTTCTTTTTAAAAGCCGGCCAAGTTGATGCTAATGCCACACCTTTATTTCATTAATAGAAAGAGAGAATCAGAGCAGGGTGATAAACACAGATGAGATTCTATCAATTATATGATTGCTTTAATTATCATTAAAGACAGATCAATAACACCAGACTGGAATTAAAATAAGGCCCATACATTATACACTATTTTACAAGGAACAATCAAATTGCCTCATATACTGAACCCTGGAAGGTGTTGCCATGGGAACCCATGCGAGGGTTTGGGCATGCTTGGGGGGAATTTAAAGGAGCCGGTTTAGTTTCCTATATGCTCATCCTCACACATTAGTGACGCTTGATTAAATAATGACTCGAGATGGGTAGGCTTATTCATTTGAAATTAAAGAATGGAAATGTGACACCTAGAGGTACAACTTCACAATGATTTAATAAAGTGTGAGAAAAAAAATCACCCTTGTAATATTCTTACAACCAAAGGACATCAATTATTAAAAATAGTAAAGAATCCATAAAAGCAGGCCGTGAGTGTGCATACCAACGAATATCATTTGAATATTTAAACCCACGCTGATATCCCGCTGCACGTCTGAGCTGTAGCTACAACTCGGTCAACACACAGGAGAGATAATGGACCAGCAGCAGCTGCAGGGCTTCAGAGAGTGATCTGCAGGATAAAGCTCAGTGAACCCAAATGCTTCTGGCAGCAGTTAGTGAGGAAGGTGCCGGGCTCGGGGTGTGATAAAGGCAGAGAGTGTTGGTGCATGTGACCCAGGTTTGATGTGATAAAAAACTGCAGGGCCTTTCTGTGTGCACCTGAAGCTATATACAAGACAGAGAGGTGCATATGTCATGTGCTGGAAGCATGGAGCTGGGTGCAGGGTCATAATGTGAAATACCACATCATTTACTGTGTGCCTCCTGGTTGGGTCACAACAGACAAAAAAGACACGTTTGCCATTTGTTACATATGCGGCGAATCCACCGAGGGTTGGGAATCACAGGCAAGGAGGGAGAGAAAGAGAGAGGTGAGGAGAAGGTGAGAAACATTTTCATGTGCAAAGACCATAAATTTAACACCTTCCCCTGTACGAGCGAGAAGGCAGACGGGCCATCTTACCGAAAGGGTAATGGAGAAAGTGATGAAGAAACGGGTAAAGGTATCTGTGACAAGAGTGAGAATGGAGGGCGTGCCAGAAGGGAGCCAGAGGAAATAAACAAGGCCAGGTAGAGGTGGGGGCGATTTGGGAATGAGGAGCGAGCACTGGGAAGGCGGGCGGGCGGGCAGGCGTCGGGGTCATAAAAACTAGGAGATGTGTTCTGGCCTCTGGGTCTTCATATCTTTTACATTTCTAATTAAAAGAGATAAAGAGTGAGGGAGTCATCAATCCCACAGTGATTTCCCAGTTAAGGTTTTAGAGGGGGCTGTAAACTAGGCAGCCCGGCATCATTGATTTTATAATTAGCTATCGTCACCCCAGACTTAAGATGGAGGGAGTGTGGTAGAGGGGCACGACGAGCGCGACTCTGCTGGTGGAGTGAGGAGGAGGAAGATGATGAGGAAGTCAGCCCTGAGGGGGGACTGCAGGAGAGTCAAAGGTGAGGAGAGAGAAAAAAAACAGAATGGGAATCTATATGAAACAGGCAATGAGCCAAAAGGGAATATCGGCTATACAGCCGTGTGAAAAGAAATGGCATAGTTAATTACCAGTGAAATGTCATGTGAGGATCAAAATATT